CCCCACAAACCCCGAATTTCTTCCGATCAGTTTATTTTCTTTAAGATTAATCAGACGTTAAGATTAGCATCATTCAATATTATTATATAAATAATATATAAATAATTCAGTAGCGAAGTGGTAAAAGGAGATAAGTAATTTGGACTACTGACAAATGTTCAAAGAATATCTCGGAAGCTAAAGAAGATGATAAAGATTTGATTATAACCTTTTTTGTGGAACTTATAAATTGCTACAACAAATGTTACTACATAAAAGCCGCTGTCTTTCTTAGGTTGACAAATATTGCTCAAAAACTCTACTGATAGATAAGTCAACTTATCTCCCTTTATCACTGAATTTTTCAGAGTAATGGACATTGAAATAATTATTTCTTTCTCTGTACATAAAGGAATGGCATGCATTGATCTGAAATGACAGGGGGAAAATTTGTGTTATCATGCGTTTTCAGGAAGAAATGTTGAGGAAAGAAAGGATCGAGGAATAAATTTCTTTTTTCATTAAGGAAGACAAATTGTTGGGAGAAAATATTAACAGGCTTTATGACAGGTGGAGCTCAGAAAAGATTCAGGCAATTTTAAAACTATAAATAAACAATCACTTGTAAATTGAGAATTTCAAGTTCTGCGGAACAAGTTCAATCTGCTAGGGCTTTTTAGTTCATCTTCCTGATGAATTCAGGTTTAAAACGAAATTTGACTTTTTAATTACCTTTAGCTCCACCATTTTGAGTCATTATGAAAAAAAAGGAATCTCTTCAAAGTTATTTTAAGTTAATTTGCACAAAATTGGAAGAAGTTTGTGTAATTTCGTCAATGAAAATTCGATTCTCATTCGTTTAGCATGAAATGAATATCTTAAATAATTAACTGTGATTAGAACATCAATCAATTTCTGATTGCGGTAATGCAGAAGTGTAATGTAAATTTATTAGTTTAAAGGTACAGTATATGGCCAATCCTCTGATGTTTCTGAAAGCTCTTGAGTTAATTGCATAAATAAAATTAGCTCTTGAGTTAATTGCATAAATAAAATATTGTATTAGAATTGATTTCTCCGCGAATGAATTGTGCAATTGAAAAGAATATACCGCCACGGAAAAATGTATATGATATGGGCTAATTATGGGCTAATTATCTAAAATAAAATATAATCTGAAATATTTACCCTTCGTATTTTTCTTATATAAATTAAACGATATTATATTTAAGATATTTTGAAAATATATTTTGGAAATAGAAATGGTTCTATTTCTAAAACTTTTAATAGAAATTAATAAAACGTTGTTATTTACCTCGTAAAGCATTCCGAGTGAGAAAATAACTTGAAAGGCATTATAAGCGACAAGTACAGTTTTGAGTCGATAAGGCTTTTTGTTTGCCATCATCCTTGGACCCAGGAGAGTGACCCCGTAAAGATAAAGTACAACGATTAGGAATGTAGGAATTGGTGAGTCCATCAGGGGCCAGTCACTGACTCTTGGGTCTGATGCTGTCTCTAGAATTTCTGTGTACTGTTCCAAGGCCATACGGACAAGGCCCTCTGCCCCTACGAATGTCCGATTTGTGTCTTGCATTTTTAATAGCGGCTCAGGTTCTCGTTCTACCACTAATTCCGCTGCTGCTGATACCATTTTTAATCTATAACAATAAAAAATTCCAATCACATTATTACAACCGTGGAATTTTCCTTGTGAAAATCGTTATCATCCCGCGTAGAAAATGGTATATATGCGACGTATATATTAATTAACTTAATTAAAGGCACATATATTCTGTTTAAAAATGTAATATGTCATATATAGAGTATCGTACAGACAATTATTTTTATTATATATAATTATTAGCGAAAACAAACATTCAGGTGTGCAGAAAATGAAGGTTTTTTCAACAGGCCCCTTTTTAAAGGTCCCTTTGCAGGTATGGTGAAATATAGCATGTGCACCTCGGGCGGTAAAATGACTTTTCGCCCTTGATGCACAATATACTATTTCAACCCACCTGCACGGAAAATTCGCACTTTGCTCCCTGATAAGCGAGGCCAAGTGATAAGTGAGGCAAGTTTCTACCCGAGAGCGGAAAGTACTCACTTTTCTCCTGCCCTTCAGACAACGAAAAACGAAGTACCGCCCTCGGGCGGAAAGTATTCACTTTTCTTCCGCCCTTGAAAATTTTCTATTTCTATAATGAAAATATTTCTTCAATTATTGTTTTTTTTTTGTTGTTATGCTTTTGATTGGTTATTGGTTGCTTTTAATCGACTTTATAAAAAAAAAACTCGTACCTTTCATACATTTCTTGAGGTACAGATATTGTTTGAAAAACGGTTATTCAATATTATCATGTTGTTAATAAATCTGACTTGACATTCATTTTCAAACTTTTCATTTTTATATTTCCCGCTCTCGATGCCAAATTAAAGTTTACAAATTTCTCACAATCAAAAAAATTATCGGCGTCCTTTAATTGTCAATTGACGATGAAATTTTTCTTTCTCAAGTTCACGAGCATCCTACTCTCATTTTGCCTGCCTCTACTTTAGGGCATAAAGCATCTCACTTTTCACACCATCAAGTTTCTGTCGAATATCCCTACTACTCTTCCCTACGCGCAGGGCATCACAGACCTGAAGAAGGCATGTTCTCTCTCTTAACCGTAGTCAGTGTAACTGTCCTCAAAAGTCAAGAATAAATTCATCGGAATTCTTTGACTTTCTATTTGTTTTCGAGAAAAAGTGGAACAGTAAATTATGTTTTTTCAAATGTATGTCCTAAAATTGAAATTGAAATGAATTAAAAAAATTAATTCTCATTTTTAAAAAATTTCATTTGCTTATTCTAATTTTAATTTATAAAATTTTTTTCATTAAGAATTTTTAATAACAAGATGTCCTGAGAAGGACACCCCGAAAATTTAGACAACCACCTTTAGCGTATGGTTCCCTTTAAAAAAAAAGCATGTAACGTTTTTTGTCAGCTTTTTTTGGCGCTATGCATATCAAAATATATCTATATAATATGATATATATATATAATATATATATATATATAAATAATATATATAAATTAT